TCCCTCCTCTCTCTCTCTCTCTCTCTCTCTCTCTCTCTCTCTCTCTCTGATTTTTGAACTTGGACCATCGGCGAACGTGTTCTAACCTACCTACTTACCTCTTCAGGATCTGTCGATATGCACACGTTATATGCACACATGATTCGCACACATGATCCGCACACACACAAGATTCCACGTAGAACAAAGGGCGGAAGTCAATTCCCCCTTCCCCCTCCTCAGAACGAGCATGGAAATAGAAACAAAGGAGCAGCGGACTTGAGCTGCCAATAGATAGATAGATACCTGGTTTTTTCTTGTCTGCTACTACTATCGCTATTGTCTGTAAAGATTCAAAGGCTCGGCCAGCTTACTGACTAGATACACACTCGTTTTTGCCATCGAGGGTGGGTGGGTAGATAGATATAAGCATACTCTTCCTTTTCGTGCTCTTCGCTTCGCTTCGCAGATAAAGATATTTGGCTCCTTCCCCCCATCTCGAAATGATAACCCACCCGTCCCCATACCACCCTTTCATTCATTCATGTATCCTGAAAGAGAGAATGAAAAAACAGCATCAAACAAACAGAGCCAACTGTTGAGGCTCCCTCCCTATCCCTATCTGTCTCTGTGGTTCCAGCGTCGGGCTTTCTTTCTGGCTTTCCTACTTTTTTCCCTCCTTCCCCTCCTCCCCCTACGCGAAAAGAAAAAGAAAAAGCGGTACAGACAGATATCGAAAGAGGGAAGAGAGAAAATATAAAATATAAAACAGATGACAAGCCGGAAACGCCAGACCATGATGGCCACCCCCACCCCCCCTCCCCCCGTGCCCTGTGCCGAGCTTTCATAGACCGTCCCATCCAACCCGAGCTTGATTGATTGCGAACCGAAAACGCCGGTTGGAAATGGAAATGTGTGTGTAAATATAAGAAGAAAATGGATAGGATGAACAAACAGACACCTGTGGAGATGCTGATGGCTTGCTTTTCTCTCTCGGAGCGGTGATGCTCGGCTAGTAGCGGATTGCCTCGAGGTAGGTCGCGTACGCTCGAGAGAACTCATCCAAAGAACTTCCAACGAAAATAAAGAATAAAAGTAGAATCGATTACCAAGGGCGGCCTTCAACTACGGCCAGGCGGCAAGACATCCACGTTCTGGGTGGGTTGTTGCTGTTGCTGCTGCTGCTGCTGTTGTTGCTGCTGCTGCTGCTGTTGTTGCAGCGTCGCCGCCGCCCCCATCTCGGCCTTGTGCTTGCGAGTGATCTTGGCAAAGTGTAAGCCGCACGCGTTACAGAGCGTGCGTGCGCCGTCGGGACCGCGGCGCCACTCGGGCGTTTTGGAACGATTGCAGGCGTGGCAGCGTCCTGGAGGTGCGACTTTCTGATTTGGTCACCGACGGTTAGCAAGAATCCTTCTTCTTATTCTTCTTTTTCTTTCCAGGACAATTACGACTGGAAAAAGAACAAAACTGACGAGAGAAGGACATCCGACCTACCCCGCGACGTTTCTTGCTATCGGGTCCCTTGATGTTGTGGTTGTCGTCTCCGTACGACGATTCGTCGTCGCAGTCGCCTCCTCCGGCTGGGTTCATGCTGTGGTGCAGGCGCGTGTTCTGCTCCACTATCATCGCTCGCATTTCTTCCAGCGCGTGGTAGAGGGCTTCTTGTTGGCATATGGTTTCGTCGACGGATTCGAGCGTCGGCATGCGGTCTGGGACGAGGATGGCGGAGGGTTGCTGTTCGCTCAGGATGGCGTTGTAGTGCGCCGCCCACGCCGCGATGGTGGAGCTGAGCTTGTTGATCTGTAGTGACGTGAGCATTTGCTCGCTAGGTCTACCGTGACAGGGAGGGAGGGAGGGAGGTGAAGGTTGATTTCGACTTACCGAAGCGAGGTTGTTCTCGAAATTGTACATCTCGAAATGCCGCTTCAATCCTTGCCTGAAGGCAGCGGTCGGTTCTCGCTTCTCGTCTCTGGCCCACCTCGTTTCCATCTCTCGAGGATCGTACTGTGGCGGGATGAAGACGGGACCATGATGGGATGCAGGAGGGGGAGGAGACATGGGGCGGTACGGCGGACCGTACGCGTATGTGGGTTGCTGATGCGCAGGGCGCTGGACATAATCCTGCGGGACTCGGTCGTGAGATCTGGAATCCGGCTCGTGTCTTGCGGGCTCGTAGCGAGGCATGGCGGGCTGATCTTGAGGAGCCTGAACGGCTGACCGATAGGAGAACGAGGGGCGCCTATTCGGCTCGGGAAATGGAGCTGGCTCCGGTCGGGAGAAGTGAACGGGGTGGACTGGTTGCGGAGGAGATGCGGGCCGTGGCAGACGTGGAGTGGCAGACTGCGTCGAGTACCGTGGCTGTTCCGGAAGCGGATATGATCGAGGGGTTTCGGGCCTTTGGGAGTATGGGGTCGCTTGAGCCGGCGGCGGCGGGTACGATCGAGGGGTTTCGGGCCTTTGGGAGTATGGGGTCGGTTGAGACGGCGGCGGCGGGTATGATCGAGGGGCTTCGGGCCCGGGCGAGTATGCGACCTGGTGCGACGGCGGTCCGGAGGCAGACACGGGGGAGATGTAGACATTCGAACTGGATCCACTGCTGCTGAGCGCCTCGTGTATGGAGGGGAGGGATAGCCGATGCGGATGTGACCGTGATGCTGAGAGGGGACGAGGAGACTCCGTCCGGTAGTCTGATGGACGTCGAGAGTCTGTCGGGGACATGAGGCCAGCGAGGGAGGGAGCTGACCAGCCGGAGGAGTATGGAGGAGGGGGTTGTTGGTACCTGGAGGCGGTGGGACTGATCCCTGCCGACGTGGCCATGGTCGGCGGGTATGGGCGATCGGTGGTGGTGACGGTGATGGGCTCGACGCCGCGGTTGGCGAAGGGGTGATTGCTGGCGCCGCTGCGGAATGGTTGTTAGCAATGCGAGGATGGAGGT